CTGCAAACTCAATAAAAGCTGGTTATTTATCAGGTCAGATTATGGGACGTGACTGAGCTCAGCTGTAAAGTTGAAAGTGAAACCAGCTGTGGCTGAAATTGAATTACACTGAGTGAGTAATGTGAAAAGCAAGGGCAGTTTAACAGTTATTACAGTTATACTGTTCTACTGCCCTATCAAGCAGGCATACACTGCTCAAACTATACAGTATACACTGTCTTCTTTTTATCTCAAACTGTTGCTTGAAACATAAACAAGTGCGTTTTGCATGGGCCAAGACTCTGAGACACTTTGATTGTGATCAGAGCATTAGATCATAGGAGTGCTGACAGAACCAGGAGCCTCTGCTGATTTGCTTGTTGCTTTGTATGTGTGTAAATGCATACTCCTGGCAGTACGGCCACAAGTGTGTGTAGACACGGGTCACTGGGGCATTGCATCGGCATGTGCTCCCCGACAGGCCTCTGTCTTACAGGAGCAGAGGTTAGATGAGTGGAGGACAAACGGCTTTAACATGTGGCCTGGCACCTGGCCTGCATGTTTCTGTGTGTGTTTTGGGGTTTCCTCTGAGTACTCCGTCTGGGCCTCACACATGCCATTATCAGAGAAAGTGTTAATGACCCAAACAGCTCTTGCACTTTCTCTCACATCTCACCTCTCTGTTTTCACCTTTCCTTCCTCATTTTTGTGAAGTGAACACTCGCTGATGCTGCCTGTTTATTAATTACGGGCATGTGAGTAATTTGTGTAACAGACTTAAAACAAAGCACTGCCGTACTTCTTGTACCGTGTGTTCTTCTGCTTCACAACATTTCACACAGCATATTACACTTTTTACTCCACTATTTATTTCACACTTACTTTTCAGATTAAGATTTTGCAAAAAACAACAACATATGATTGGTTTATAAAATATGCTGAACTGGTTTAAGATTAAACCACCGAAAAGTCTAATAATGAGGTACAATAAGATCCACTTCACCCAACTACAATATTAAACTACTGCTTACATGCATCGAGAATCATGATCCAATAATATAATAATATAACTATGATCGGGGGGATTCTGCATAATGAGTACTTTTACTTTGGGCAAAGAAAAAAAACCTTATTTTGAGCTGTGTGACATACTTTGGTAATCTAATTGGTTTTTAAATGTATTTAGTTCAAGAAGTAGGCAGATTTGCTCAATTCATAAAGTGATATTTAATTATTTAGTACTCCTGGAAAATAAAAAATCTAATTCTTTTGATAATTGAAGTACATTTTGTTGCAAATACTTTTACTTAACTTACATTATCAGAGTGTTTATTGTGGTATAGCCACTTTTACTTAAAATATCAGAATACTACATCCACATCTATTTGACATATGATGAACATGACAAATAAAATTATCCAACATTATATAAAATATTTAAAATTAGCTTCACTCTGACCAGCTACAACATTAAAGTGCTATATTTACATCTGCAGTAATA